CTATCAACTTTTTCTTTTAACAGTGCAAGCATAGTAAAAGCATTTTAAAGCGCTACTTTGCTAAGCATTAAACATGTTACTTATAATTAACCGTAAGTGGTCACGCCTGATTACCATTTTACCCCATGGTTTAATTAAGAATCCTTCAAATGCAAGTCTTCACTTTAAAATTTTGGTTAAGTCCAAAAATTGTCTCATTTCTGAATATCGATCCTCAATTTCGAATAACAAGAACATAACTTGCAAACTTCGCTCAGGTAGGTTGCTCGGTTCGTGAGATAGTCAATTCTCATAACCTCGACATCAATTTTGAGGAACGGAGCCTGGCGTGGGTAGCGTTTACTGGTGACGGTGAGCTTCAGGTAGTTTTGCCGCATTTACCTATTGTTGTTTGCCCATCGTTCGTTATTAACCGGCAGAGCAACCTGTTCGGGTAATGTACTTCTGTGATTACTATGTCTATTAATACGTGTTGACTAGATTTACTCCGTCGATAGAGCGTTAATCTTAAAGGCGAGGAGGTCCTGGATGCGACGAGCGGTCAGATCACTCACCATTCATCTCTTTGAGGCTGATAACCGATTATCATTTTGTGGGAAGGAAACAAGAGGCTATATGCTAATCAGCCACGTGGCCATAGACGCTGCTATTAAGGGAAAGCACTTCTGGCTGATGGCGTACAAACGCCAATTAGTACCAGCGTTGGCTCCTTGTAAACAAAGTTATTACAGGCGTTGTTCATCACGGAAGCCCAGGAGAGGCCTACAACCCAACGGTTAAAATCTTCCTTTTTTCCTACGTTTCGTCAGTTTCTTGCAAATACTATCATAGAATTACTAAATATTTAAGCATATGCCAGTGAAGCCCGTCTCACTGTATTTAATAGCACTTAGAGTTATCGTCTGGCCAGTAGAGTATAGTATGTATATAATATATGCCAGTGATTCGAATAACTTCATTGTGGTTTGTTGAAGATTTCCATTTTGTCAGTCGTAGAATTGTCGATACATTCCTGCATTAAAATTACTGCATCGAAGGTCATTAACAGATTCGGTTAATGAATGCTGCAATAACTGCTAAATATTTCACTTTAGTTTGTATTTCTTAAATTCTCTGCTTAAGGTCTTTTCTGCTTGCATGACAATAACGTCTACGTGCCTGGCGACTTTTGGTCAAGCGGAAACTACCGATACTCTTGTTCCTCTTCTGCCAGTCTCGAAATCACAGGTACCATCAATTTTAAATTTTGTCTGAATGATCATCGTTTCTAGAAGAGAAAGTTTACCTTTAACATGAATTGTGCAGCAAGATACCTTGCTGTTTGACTGATATCCAAAGTAAACTTTTGCACGATTTTCTTTCAAACGACTCCTAGCTTCTCAGTTTATACTATGTTTGCTACTGAACACTTCATAAGTCTTTTGGTTGATCAAAGGATTCAATTTCAGGATGCGTATTACCTAGTGAAGACGGCCTTGCAGTGGGTGAAGAATTCACTGAAGGCAACTATACTTACAAGTGCACGAATGACACTGGCGTTGTAAAGTTTGTATCAGAAAAATGCAAACAGCCGAACTGCGCCAAGGAAGCAGAAGTGATTACGATTGGACAACGTCCCCTGGCGGAGCTTGGGATATCGAAATCGAGTGAAAGCCTATGTAAGTGTCTCATTTGCCTTATATTTTTCTCAGACGGAACAGGTTATTATGAGATGAATTCTGAATCTCTCCAATAAAAGATGAAGTAAAATGAATCTTTCTCCGTTCAGACCAATGAGCATAAATGTAAACTCTCCATAGTGCTGCGCGGCATACTTTTAGGTCTTGATCATCTAAATA